CAAACAGATTGTTTTAAAAGAAACAGCACTGCAGATATCATTTTCAAGGTTTCATATTTTGTATAAACAAATATCTGTCTTTAATTAACATAAACAGGGCAATGTCATTAGATCATGTAAGTAAATAGTACACTATCTGCTCAGCACTCATAAAAACATATACAGTGGGATCTTGTTATTTTGGTGACGATTTTATAAGGTACTAAGAAAGCTTTTTACGTTGTAAATTCAAAGCACAAAATCATTTCTTAAAAATTAACAAATCTATTCAAATAGGTGTTAAAGACTGTTTATTATATTGTCCGAAAATGCCAGGACTCAGTATTTTATTGTAAAATAACTTAAAAATGACTAAAAGATAAAATCCGGTCCCACTCATGAAGTATTTTTATAAATTCCATTTTCAAGTACAAAACATTGTACATCTCATATGTTTAATTTTTTGACAGGTTACCATGAGCCCTAGTAGAGAGTTTACATAACATATGAATTAACACCCCCCCCCCCCCTCCTTAAAAAAAAAAAAGAAAAATGGAGGAAGACATGGAGTTTGAAACCACAGGGTTTCACCCACACAGAGTGAAGGATGAAAAGCCGATGTTTGACTCCGATTACTACGCAGCAGAGGCTCTGGCCTGTGACATGGATATTCCTGTGATTTACAGTACTGGGAGGAACAAGGAACCAATAGAGGAGTGGTTAGAGAAAAATAAACCCTCTATGATTCACAGGTAATGAAAGGTACAGCTGATGTTGTAAATGCTCTGCCAAGTTGTTTGAAAAACCTTAGTTACACAATGCACATATTGAAGTACACAAAACTATTAAATTCAAATTATTCAGACCCTTAGTTGGTAATTAAATAGCCTGAGGTATTAAGTATATTTTTTGTAAGAAACTACATGTATATAACTTAATACATGGGTAAGGAATTTTTTGTTCCTGAGCATTTGTTAAAATTGTTGAATCTTGAATCCGAATCTTTCTACTATCTACTTTACAAAATATTTTAGAGATGATGGATTTGGTTGGATTCACGTCATCCGTTCAGAGAAGACAAAAAACATAAACTCGGATGAAGTGGACGTTTTGGGATTACAATAGGCATGGGAAAACCTGAAAGCATCAAAAAGAGATATAAGTAAAGACAAAATTTTTGAACTAGCAAACAATTTTAGAGTTACTGCTGGTAAGTGGATGTTTTGGGTGGCAACTGGAGGAAAGGGAGATTACTTGTGGTCCTTGGTTGCCAAAGGTATTGCAAATGGGAATACTTTGGCTAAGCAGGCCAAAATCAGTGCTTGTGAACAGGGTAAAGAGGGTCCTGATAAAAACGAACATGTAGTATGCATCTATAATGACAACTTTCTGGATAAAGACCAAGTATTTGAAAGTGAAAGAACAATAAGAAGCCTGGGAATCAAATGTCAGCTTCAGTACAAACCAGATGTGTTCACCTACCTGGGAGTCTACCGAAAAAATCCTTGGAATCTTAGACCCACTATTTACAATAGCAACTTTGATGTCATAAGAAATCAGTCTATTATTGAAGAAGTGCATGGTAGATTTTAAAAGGTGGAAGTGAAAGGAGACTAGTGATTCATTTTTTTTTTAATCTTAAATGCAATGAGAAGTACATTGTAATTTGATTTTTAAGGATGTTGTGAAGAAACAAAATAGTTAGTTGATTAAGAGTTATTAAATTATCATAAGATGATCCAAAAAGACTGTCAAAATGATATTTACTTTAAAAAAAATATTTCGCCTAGGATCTAGAGGGTGTATATGTCTCAGACTTTCTTAAACTTTTCAGATTTTACATATGCTGCACTTCCTACTTAGCAGAGTGTCAATTAAGTTCTAAATTTTGAATTTACCAGGCATATATGTAAGATTACTCAGTACAGCTACTGGTAAATTTTGCAGAGAACTTCAACATGAATTGCACTTTTTTTTTCTGTGGAGAAAAAAAATATTTACCCACAAAATTTAATAAACTTTTGAATATAGGAGTAAGATACATGTACCCATCTGTCACACTGGTTCTACTGAGTAACATTTTTCTATCTGACAAATGAGTGTATGAATACAATCAAGTAAAGTCAACCTCATTATCTAAACTCAGTGGGACCATGCACATTTACATCTTCGCTAGCCAAGGGTTTCTGATATGCTATACTCTCCTCATGAACCCTAGGCATACGGTGTTCATAGAAGTTGGGTTTTCCGTTTTCGTCTGTCGTCGTGCGTCGTGTGATAACATTTGAACATTTTCAGCTTCTTCTCTGAAACCACTGAACCAATTTTAACAAAATTTGGTATACAGCATCTATGGTTAAAGGGGAACAAAAATTATGAATTTTATGGTTCCCGCCCCCCTGGGGCCTGAGGGGTGGGGCCAAAACCACTAAAATTATTGTAATCTTTAAAAATCTTCTTTACTCCTGCACATTAAGCAGGCAAACTGTTGGCATGAATGTAATGAGCATTGAGTCCTCTACCAAACTTGTGAAATTCATGGCCCCAGGATCAGGGGTTCCAGTGCTAGGGCGGGGCTATATAGATTATATAGTGAAAATGCATGATTTCTTTGAAAATCTTCTTCTCTGCTCCTGGGTATTAAGTAAACTAACTAAGTACATATTTTTGATGAGCAAGAGTGCCTCTTCCAAAATTGTGAATTTTATGGCCTCAGGGTCAGGGGTTCTGGTGTTGCGGCGGGGCTCTATTGATTATATAGTGAAAATGCATTTATTCTTTGAAAATCTTCTTCTCTGCTCCTGGGTATTAAATAAACTAACCAAGCACATAGTTATGATGAGCAAGAGTGCCTCTTCCAAAATTGTGAATTTTGTGGCCCCAGGGTCAGGGGTTCTGGTGTTAGGGCGGGGCTCTATTGATCATATAGTGAAAATGCATTATTCTTTGAAAATCTTCTTCTCTGCTCCTGGGTACTGTAGATCACTAAATATTCTTGAGACCTTATTTTCGCGAGATAGTCATTGACTCTTGTTAAGCGAAACATAATTTTCACGAAATGTGGTCATTGCTTTATATAATCTTAAGGAATTCTATTATACGCGAGAATGAAATTTTTGCGAGCATATAGTCTCGCGTAATTACGCGAAAATAAAGTTCTTGTGAATAAGAAGTGATTTACAGTATTAAATAAACTAACTAAGTATATAGTTATGATAAGCAAGAGTGTGCCTCTTCCAAAATTGTGAATTTTATGGCCCTAGGATCAGGGGTTCTGGTGTTAGGGCGGGGCTCTATTGATTATATAGTGAAAATACACTAATTCTTTGAAAATCTTTCCTTTGCTCCTGGGTTTTATGCCAATGATCCAAGTATATTATTTATGATAAAGAAAGATGCATTTAGCAAAATGGTTATTTTTTTTATGCCCCCCCCTCCCTGGGTTGGGGGTGGGGGGTACATAGTCTGAAAATAAATTAATGCTTTGAAATCTGCTCTTTAGTATTAATCAGCCATTTTATGATCAAAATTTTGAAATATATGGCCCCTGGGTATCGAGACAGTGTTTCGTTTGGGATTAGGTGGACAACTGGTTATAAAGTGGAAGTGCATTTTCTCTTTGTTACTCTGATCTACCTCTGGGTATTTATTAAATAGAGTAAGCATGCAAAGTCTATAATTATGATAAGCAATGGTGCCTCTTTCAAAATTATGAATTGCGAATTTCATGACCCCTGGATTAAAACACGAACCAAATTTAATTGTTTGAAAGTTGTTGCACAATACTCAGGTGACCTATATGGCCCGTGGGCCTCTTGTTTTCTCGAGTTTTGATTGGGATTCAGTACATCCGGTCAACCAATCAGCAATTGTTTTTTGTAAATGACGAAATTTGCGTTCAGGATACTTCTTGACTCTAATCTCGGAAATAAAAAACGCAAGTAAACAACGATCCGTAAGATAACATGCAATATTCTATGAGTAGCTATGCATCGTCGCAAATTTGTGGAAATAGAATCATCAATGGACACAAAACCCGTGGCTTGCGAGGATGGTAGCTATGGTGTCATCCAATATCTTCTAAATATGTGATTAAGAATCTGTATTGAAGATTCAGATTTGTTCTATAAATAATAAATAAACATAACTCAATTATTCTTGAAAAAAAAACTTTGATTTAATTTTTTTTTAACACGTGTCTTTATATCTGTCGTTGACGCAATCTGTGCGTACCTGATAGATTCGAGATCACGTGACGCCGTCTTTTGACTTCACCGTATGCCAAGCACGGTGTAGTACCTAAACGGCTGCTATCGGAACAAAACTGCGTTCAATGTTGCTATTCGAAAATTGTACGGCTGCTAGCAGAAATAAATATGTTGAAAACTCTTAGAAGAAGCTGTAAAACAGTGAAATTATGACCCCAAATCAAGATAATCTCTGAAAAGTCCGGGTGCACGGAACAATTAAGTAAGGTATTTCTAAAGATGTTGTCATGTGTAATTTGCAGAATAGCCCTCTAATAATTTAGAATTAGTAAAATTTCCGAAGCCTCTACCAAATCTTAAGTCAATAAATACCCAGTTTTCATGCTTTTTTAAATCATCTATTATTCAGATTGTGGGTATTTTGGTATTTGAAAATGCGTCAATCTATAATAAAAATCTCTTTTAAAATACACTTTTCAATTTTTTAAAATTATTTCTATCTATAATATAGATAGAAATAATTTTAAAAAATTGAAAAGTGTATTCTAAAAGAGATTTTTGGATAAAACACGATTTTTTAAAGTTACGGTTGCTATCAGGGTCTTAGCATATATTGCACCGGTTAATAGTAGTATAGAGTGATTGTTTTTATGCTACTTTGAGGTGCAAATTGATTTGAGGTGGAGAGGTGGGCTTTAAAGGCGGAAGTATATAGTAAATCCGGATGCTAATAATGACTATATGTAATTATAGGGAAGCAAACCCGGATGATTTTTTTACTGATGATTAGCTAATACACAAACGTTAAGACCTATGAATATATTGTATTTATTTTTAATGTTTTGACGACTTGAAACTTACGATGTCAATAGTGTATTAGGATCCTAAATTGTGTGAATTAGATATATATTGCTTTGATTCATAAAACTGGGTTTGATAATTAAACATGCGGCCTGAGTTAAAACACAAGTTTTTTAACAAAACCTTGAAAATGATAAACAAGTTGAAAATGAAACCTCTAATTGTTCACGAACTAGTCATTTATTAAAATAGAAGAGAAGAAATAAAACAAGAGACACGGAAAAGTGGGAAACTACTATAACAATCACTGATTTATTGAAATGAGAATTATATAACCTTTTTTCATTAAAGTATTTTTTATACGAACGGTTTCTTTTTAGTGTTAAGACCATACAAATGAAACGAGAAATTTTAATTATATGAGGCCTAATTTTGAGTCAAGACAAACGTCTATTACAAGATCTTAAAACATGATTAACATGCTGAAGTGAAACCTAAATCTCGTCCGGTTTACGCACTGATGAAGTCAATAAAACTGTAATTGATGCAAATCACCCATATTCCCAAAACGCTAGCAAGACAATTTGCGGCAGCAGATTTCGATTTAAAGGGGGGGGGGGGTCATAGGTTTTCAGCTTTCTTAGTTAAAGAAAATAAACTTGATATATTCCACCATTTATTTCTATCAGTGATATTTTTACATTAAAATGAAAATATTAACATAGCCAATCAGGTTGCGTCACCCCGGTAATTGTTTTCACTATAAAATTCCATATAGAATAAAAAATCTGGTATTTGGTAACATGAAAAAATATCTAGCAGGAAGTGTTAAACATTACCTGTCACACTAGCTGACACACTCTCACTCACAAAACGGTACCTACACGGCATTTTCTGTCTTTTTCCATCTGCAAACAGGCTACCCTCAAATCCACGTGTTTTCAATGTGTTTATAAACATTCCGAGTGTACCGCAGGAAGTAGCATCCTATTCCCGGGAAAAAAATAGTTCCTGTCAAAAACCTTTATTTGTTCAAAAAGCACATAAAATTTACTAGGCACAGGTACCAAAGTTGAAAAAATGGCTCGGAAGAGAATAGAAAAACGTCTCAAAAGAAAGGAAAATCAATTTTATATCTATGGACCTACATTTGACTAAGTTCATTTTGATCGGTCAATTACCGGTGTGATACCTCTACCAATTTAGTACTCCTCTCCCCTCTTGTTTAACCAGGAAATGATGTCAACTTCCGGGAATCTGGTAGCCTTATTCCCATAATTCGACGCACGGTACTTCCACAACTACCAAGTTCATCGTACCTGACGTTAATTTATGCCCAGGTAAAAAAAATACATGGAAATACGTAAAAAATTGAAAGACAGCATATTTCTACTGACGAATTAGTTTACTATAATTAATTATTTTTAACTTTCTTTTCTTTTAACTTACTTTTTTCCCACACTATTTAAAAAAATATGACCCCCCCCATAAAAAAGAAGGGATGCAAAGACTTCTAAATAATTAGTTTTGTACCTATGTTTTAAACCCAGTAAAACTTAAGATCCCTCCCTCATAACTGCTGAC